AAGCAATAGCAGTTCACAAAGCGTCAATAATTTCAAACCGGGGGTTGGAATTCCGTAGAGTTATCTTTACGGCGTGCTAACTTCTCTTGACAATCTGCAGGGCGCGTGACAGCCCAGCGAGCTTCTCAAGATTCAGAACTTCTGTAAACTTCCACGTGGGACTTGAGAGAGATTTTTGTGTACCAACAATCGTGTAAAGATATCTTGTAGGTGTAGATAGAGGAAAGAATTATGGTGTGTGTTTTTCGTTGTGAAAAAATGGGTTATTTTTTTTTCGTATTTTGATTGAGGGTGATAAGTTTAAGTGTTTTTGAGGGTAAATATATGTATTGTGGTAATGTTATTCACGATTTTTTTGGAGTGAGACTGAGAGGGATGATTAAAAAAGTGATATATTTAAAAGAAGGGAAATAAAAGTGAGAGAAACGGGAGATAAAAGGAGGAAAAGGAGACACAGGAAGACAGAGGGACCTACTAACAAGGACCGTCGTAAAACCTGCATTCCTCCGTCCCTTCCTTTTCTCCCATATTTTTCCCGTCTTTTTCCCTCCTCCGTCTTTGCCTTTTTACTTTATTTTCTCTATTTTTTTCTTGTCCTTCAGCTCCCTTCTCCTTCGTAACCCTTTTCCTCCTCCTCCTCTTCTTCTTCCTTGCCTCGTTTCTTCCCTACGTCTTCTCTTACTCCTTTCCTCTTTCCCTTTCCCCTTCCCTACTACTCTTTGCCTCCTCCTACTACCCCTCGCCTTTCAACTTTCCTCTGCCTCGCCTCCTCCTCTTCTATCTCCTCCTACCCCTCTTCTTCCTCCTCCTTCTCTGCCTCACTTCCTTCTCCTTCTCTGCCTCGCCTCCTCCCCCATCTCCTCTTCTTCCTCTTCCCCCTCCTATTCCCGCTCCTCCTCTTCCTACTCCCCTTCCTCCTCCTCCCCATCCTCCCCTGCCTCCTCCTCCTCCCCTGCCTCCTCCTCCTCCTCCTCCTATTCCCCTTCCTCTTATCACTCTCTCTATATCCCCACCCTCTCCTACCTCCCTCCCCTCCCCTCCCCTCCCTCCCTCCCTCCCCTTATCCCGCCTCCCTCTCCCTCCCTCCCCTTTACCCTCGCCCTTTTCCCCTCGTTTCCCCTCTTCCCCTTTAGCCTCGTCCCATCCCCCTATCCTTCCCATTAGCCTTACACTATAACACACCTTTCTCCTTCCCCATTTCCCATTAGCCTTACACTATAACACACCTTTCTCCTTCCCCATTTCCCATTAGCCTTACACTATAACACACCTTTCTCCTTCCCCATTCAGCTTTGTTCTTTGCGATCTCATTAAGGACAGCAACCTCCACGTACAGCCTGAAAAATAAGTAACGTTACCTTCTGCACAAACTAATACGGTGTTAACATAGAGAAGCGTTCAGTTCCTCATTGAGCACAAGTAGAAGGTACACTGACTGTACACACACACGACTTAACGAAATAAAATAATGAATGATAAATGAATGAATAATTAAGAAATGAAACTGAGTAGAGAAACTGATGAGTATTTAAATGAAGGAACAAGTGAAAGTTGGTATTCATCAATATATCAATAAATGACAGAATAAAGAAAGAAAAAAATGTAGAAGAGTAGTAAATAATTCTCATATTAATCACTATATATAAATACACAGTCATTTTCTTTCTTATTTGTAATTGCATTAATAATATAAATATTATTTCTATCGTATGAATTAGTATCTTGACGTATATATTTATGTGTGTGTATATTTATATATATATATATATATATATATATATATATATATATATATATATATATATATATATATAAATATATATATATATATATATATATATATATATATATATATATATATATATATATATATATATATATATATATATATGTATATATATATATATATATATATATATATATATATATATATATATATATATATATATATATATATATATATATATATATATATATATATGTATATATATATATATATATATATATATATATATATATATATATATATATATATATATATATATATATATATATATATATATATGTATATATATAGATAGATAGATAGATAGATAAATAGATAGATAGATAGATAGATAGATAGATAGATAGATAGATAGATAGATAGATAGATAGATAGATAGATATATAGATAGATAGATAGATAGATATTATATATATATATATATATATATATATATATATATATATATATATATTTATATATATATTTCTGCGTGTGTGATTATATATAAATGTATATACATATTGGATTTTCAGCCTTTATTGTTATATTCATGAGAATTAATGATGTCATATAATCATTATATATCTCTGGAACCTAAACTACTTCAAGCTAAATCATGTGTTCGATGTTTATGTGCTTGTCATCAAATATCATTAATAAACATCTCTACTAATGATATCCATAAATATAAATTGTATGAATTCTATTCTCGTATTTTCATTAATAACTATTTGCTTCCAAATAAATGAATACATTTAATGATCAGTTCTGAAGTATATATCAAGTTAAAGCCATAGTCAGTGCTTTACGAACAAATGCGTTAACTAACACGTTGACTAACGAGCTTAATAGATAATCACAATAATCAGAAAATATACTCGTACACCTGCATCATATTCTAGCTGACGTTGAGATCAAAGCGCTATTGAAATGATGAGATTGAGAGGAGATAATGATAATATGATTAATTACGATTGTACGTTACACACAACAACACACACACATTCATATATATATTTTGTATTCTTCTTTTTTAATGAATAAATGATTGGATAAAGGAATATATATATATATATATATATATATATATATATATATATATATATATATATATATATATATATATATATATATATATATATATATATGTATATATATATATATATATATATATATATATATATATATATATATATATATATATATATATATATATATACATATATATATATATATATATATATATATATATATATATATATATATATATATATATATATATATATATATACATACACACACACACACATGCAAACACACACACACATACACACACTATTATCGTAATCATTATTGCTATCATCATCATCATCAATATCATTATCAGGATCATTATTATGGTTATCATTATTGTTATTATTATTGTCATCATCATCTCATCATCATTATTATAATAATGATAATTTTTTTTTTAAATATAATAATAATAATAATAATAATAATAATAATTATTATTATTATTATTATTATTATTATTTTTTTTTTTTTTATTATTATCATTATTATTATTATTATCATTATTATTATTATCGATTATCATTATTCTTACTATTATTATCATCGTTATTTTTATTATTATCATTATTAAGTATTACTATTATTATTATCATTATTATTATTATTATTATTATTATTATTATTATTATTATTGTTATTATTATCATTATTGTTCTTGTTGCTGTTGTTGTTATCATCATTATTATCATCATCATAATAATTATCATTATCATTATAATCATCACTATTAACATTATTATCATTATTATTATTATTATTATTATTATTTTTATTATTATTATTATTATTATTATTATCATTATCATTATTTTTATTATTATTATTATCATTATTATTATTATTATTATTATTATTATTATCATTATCATTATTATTATTATTATTATTATTAACATTATTATTATTATTATTATCATTATCATTATTATTATTATTATTATTATCATTATCATTATTATTATTATTATTATTATTATCATTATCATTATTATTATTATTGTTATTGTTATTATTATTACTATCACTAAAATTACCATGATTACATTATTATCATTATCCTTTGCAGTATCATCACTATCATCACATTATTACCCATATTATTAATATCATTATTAACATTATTAGTAATAGTGTTTTTATTATTTTATTATACTATTTTTTATCATTGGTAGTATTATTAATAGTATCATCAGTATCATTACCGCTATCATCATCATTATCACCATCATCATCCTCATCTTCATCATTATTGTCATTATCATCATTACCATTATCATCATCATTATTATTATTATCTATAATCATCATCATTATTATTATTATTTATTATCATCATCATTATTATTATTATCATTATCATTATTACTATCATTATTACTATCATTAACATTATCACCATCAGCAATATGAATGTCATTATTATTATCATTATTATTTTTATTATTGTTATCATTATCATTATTATCATTATCACTTTTAGTTACTATTAGTAGTAATAGTGTTTTTATTATTTTATCATAATTATTTTTATTATTGGTAGTATTATTAGTAGTATCATTAGTATTATTACCGTTATCATCATCATTATTATTATCATTATCATCATTACCATTATCATCATCATTATTATTATTATCATTATTACTATCATTAACATTATCACCACCAGCAATATAATTGTCATTATTATTATCATTATTGTTTTTATTATTGTTATCATTATCATTATTATCATTATCACTTTTATTTACTATTAGTAGTAATAGTGTTTTTACTATTTTATTATAATTATTTTTATCATTGGTAGTATTATTAGTAGTATCATTAGTATTATTACCGTTATCATCATCATTATTATTATCATTATTATCATTACCATTATCATCATTATCATTATTATTTATTATCATCATCATTATTATTATTATTATTATTATTATTATTATTATTATTACTATCATTAACATTATCACCATCAGCATTATAATTGTCATAATTATTATCATTATTGATTTTATTATTGTTATCATTATCATTATTATTATTATTGTTATCATTATCATTATTATCATTATCGCTTTTATTACCATTTTTACGATTCTTAGCGTTATCATGCCCCTCCCTCCTTCCAAACTGACAACCTCCTTCCCCGCAG